AGAGATATCAGTGATCAAAACATCCTGGAGGGGTGGGGCAGAGAGTTGTAGATTCTTCAGTATAGGTTCAGGCAAGCTATTAAAATGAATTTAACAATGCTCAGGACAATAAAATGGAATCTAGAAAGACGTTATCTAAAATGTACAGTTTTAAATTTAAAAAAACTTTCAAAGAAAAAGAAAAGTGTGACCAATATTGAGAGAATAAAAACAAAACAATGACAAAAACTGTCTATGGAAAGTCAGTCTGCTCAGCTCCTGGAGCTACTAATGCTCTGGGTTCCTGCTAAGGACAGAGGGAGATGAGAAGTGAGAATGAGGTGGAAGGGTAAGCTCTGGGGCCCCTACTAATGGTTAAAAGTAGGGGCTTTCCATATGCAAATAGAAACTATAAAAAAGGAGGAAATGAGAATTCTAGAAATGAAGAAAACAATAGCCATATTGTAAAATTCACTAGACATGCCTATCAGCAGTTTAAGATGACAGAATTGGTGAAATTGAAACCAAAATCAATGAAAATTAATCCAAATTTTAAAAAAAGTTTAGAAAGTAAATTTTGAAACTTCAGAGATGTATTGGTCAATATGAAGAATACCAACACTTGTGCAATGGGAATCAAAAAGTAGAAGAGAAAAAGTACCTGAAAAAATATTTGAAGAAATTACTGCAACAACTTTTCAAAATTAATGAAATGTATTAAAGTGTAGATTAAAGGAATTCAGTAATGCCTGTTAGAATAAACACTATGAGATTCATAACTAAACATATTATAGTTAAAATGTTGAAAGGCAAAAAGAAAAACTTAATCCATCAAGAAAAAATAGACTCGAGAGATCCAAGATGGCCAACTAGCAGCAGCTGAGGATTGCCGCTCCCAGTGAAGGCACAGGGAGTGAGTGGACACCAGATTTCCAGAAGAATTTTTGTTGCCTACAGACTAGGAGATTCCCAGCGGAGGACCCTCACGGGTTGCCAGCACGACTCTTTTGGCCGGCGCGGCTGTTTTGCTGGCGTTCCAGTGCAGCAGTTCTCAGTGCGGAGCATGTGGGACTGGGTGCCCTTTTGGTTGGTGTTTGGAGCTCCAGGAAGGCAGAGTCACCCATTCAGCTGAATGAAAGGGGGACTGAGGCTGGGAGCCAGACCAGGAGATTCCCGGGCAGAAAAGCTGCACGAATCTCAGTGCTGCTGTTTCAGCCCACTCGGTCGCCGCAGGGGAAATTGCATAGATCCCGGCACCTTTTCGGCAGGCCACTGGGGCACCTGGGAGAGAATTGACCATTCAATTAGGAAAAGAAAAAAAGGGGGCTCCGAGGCAGGGAGCCAGGTGATCAGGCTCAGCTGGTCCCACCCCCACAAAAAAACAGCAATTGGAAACGCTGACGGTTGAGAGTTTCACAGCAAGCACAGCTGAACCCGGGAAGGTCCAGCTCTGTGGGGGGAGAGGCGTCCACCAAAGGAAAACAAAGAAACAGAAATAACATCACCACCAACAAGCTGGACATCCACTCAGCGACCCAATCTGAACGTCAGCAATTACAAAGACGACAGGTGGATAAATCCACAAAGATGGGAAGAAACCAGCACAAAAAGGCTAAAAACATCTGAAATCAGAATGCCTCTCCTCCTTCAGGGAATCACAGCTCCTCATCAGCAAGGGAACAAGGCCTGATGGAGAATGAGTGTGATGAATTGTCAGAATCAGGCTTCAGAAGGTGGA